GCTGAAGCGTCTGAATGAGGGCCTCAAGAAGGCACACCGTGAGCTTTCCTCGGTTTTGCGAATGTTGGCTGGCCTGGTCCACCAGGCCCAAGAGGCAACTCAGAGTATGCACCGTCTCATGGGTGAGGACCCGCCTGCAGAGGGCACAGACCCTTCTCTCGCAGAGGTGGAGAGAACCTTGTACAGGCTCAACGCCCATATTGAAGTGGCCAATGACACCCGCCTGATGCTTTTGAACAGGCTCGAGGGTATGGAGGCTGCCCTCCGCAGTGGCACCCTCTAGGCATTGGCCTCATGCTCCCCTTCCCTCCCTCGTTCATATTTCTCATCATTACTTTTACCCTCCTCCCCTCCTTCCCGCTTTTGGGGTCCTTGCGGCTGGGTAGTGATTCGTCTCAGGCCAGTGCTGGACTAGTGGACGGTGGGGAGATGAGGAGGTGTTTGAAGCGGGGGGGGGGAGCGAGCGAGAGAGAGAGAGCGCCGCCCGACGTGCTGTCGTCGAAGTACGGCCAGCGCGGGGAGATGTTCGCTCAGGCGCGCCGCCCAGGCGCCGAGGAAGGGACGCCTCTTTCCCCTTCCTCTTTCCCTTTTTAGGGGTAGGCTGTGCTCGCACGACCTGCCCCTCTTGCAGAAACCACAGAAACCACAGAGGAGGAGAAGGAGGAGGAAGAGGACGACGACGAAGGGGAGCAGGCGGAGAAGGAGGAGGAGAAGGAGGGAGAGGAGGAAGAGAAGAATAATGAAGAGGCGGAGGAGGAGGAGGAGAAGGAAAACGAGGACGAAAACGAAGACGAGGACCACGATGATGATGATGAGGAGGAGGAGGAAGAGAAGGAGGAGGAGGACGAGGAGGAGGAGGGGGAGGAGAAGGAGGAGGAGGTGGAGCAGGAGGGAAGGAGAAGGAGGAGGGGCAGGAGGAGGACAAGAAGAGGAGGCGGATCAAAAGAAGGAAGAGGAGGAAGAGGAGGAGGAGGGGGAGGACAGGGAGGGGAAGGAGGAGGAGAAGGGAGAGACGGAGGAGGAATAGGAAGAGGAGGAGAAAGAGGACCATAATAAACCCAAGAGTCATCAATGATGTTGGAATACAGCCTCCTTTCCAGCTTCCCCTTGCGCAGGCACGTACAACGGTTGATTTCCACTGAAGGAACTGGCGGAAACGAGACGCGTTGGAAGACAACTGTCTGACAACCCTGAAGAATGCCAAACATTTTGGGACTCCAACGCCACGGATCCACCTGACTGTTTGCGTCTTGACGATCGTGAATTTTGCCAGAACGCCATTCCTGGGATCTCAACACAGAGAATCATCGTAACTGTTACACCCTCATATTTCGGAATAGGTCCAACGCGTTATTTCTGATACGTTGATCATGGAAATAAAACAAGAATGCGCATGGCGCTATGGCGAGAAACACATTTGGACGAACCGCCCTCAATCCGTAAAGCTCATGCAAACCCTTGAAAAGAATACGCGCGGCGCTAAAACGAGAACCACCGTTTGAAAACGAGCCGCCCTCAATCCGTGAGACCGTGCAGTTTGTTGAATAAAAAACGCATGTGCGCGACGCTAAAGCGAGAACAGCCTTCAATCCGTGGAACCCAGGCAAATGTTAACAACGACTGTGCGCGGCGCTAGCGCGAGAGCTACATGTTGAAAGCTGTTGCCAATGTTTTTTAAGTTTCGAAGTCATACATGGCAAGGAGAACTCTGGCGAAACGCTCGGCCCGCCATTTCGACCGGCCTCGGAGTGCGACAAGGAGAAGCTACGTATAAGGAAAATAAATGGAGGAGGAGGACAGGGAGGAGGGGGAGGGGGAGGAGGAGGAGGAGAGGAGGGGGAGGAGGAGGGAGGAGAGGAGGAGGAGGAGGAGGAGGAGGAGAACATGAGAGGAGGAGGAGGAGGAGGAGGAGGAGGAGGAGGAGGAGGGAGGAGGAGGAGGAGGAGGAGGAGGAGGAGGAGGGGCAGGGGGAGGAGGAGAGGGGGAGGCGGAGGAGGAGGATGGGGGGAGGAGAAGGAGGAGGAGGAGGAGGAGGAGGAGGAGGAGGAGGGAAGAGGAGGAGGAGGAGGAGGAGGAGGAGGAGGAGGAGAAGAGGAGGAGAGGAGGAGGAGGAGGAAGATGATGATGAGGAGGAGGCCGTAGCGATTTTGGTTCTGGCATGGTTGGCCCCTCAGCCGCGGGCTCGACGGGCGCGCGCGGGGCTCGGCCAGATGGCGCGGGACGGCGCGGAGGGCGCACAGAGACGGACGGCTCAAGCAAGAAAACAGTCCAGAGATTGGGCACGCGCGTCGGCTCGGGGGCGTCCACGAGGGGGGCGGGCAAGGGGGGGGGCGCGAATCATGGCCGACGGCAAATGCGCGGCCCAGGGGGGGGCCGGGGACGTATTGAAATTCGCCGGCCCAACGGGCCAGAGGCGTACTAAGATCTCCGGTAACTGGTTGACGCGCGCGGGGCGGCCCTTGGGGGTCCCCCGGCGAAAAAATACCCCGACCGCAGCCCGACCAAGTCTACCCAGAGATGGTTTTGAGGCCCTCTATTCGACACCCCATCACGAGGATCGTGGCCTCCGAGGGGGGCGCGCTCGACTACCCCGCCCCAAGAGGCCTCCAAGAGCCCCCCAAGAGGCCCAAGGGCGCCCCGAGACGCCGCCAAGGAGCCCCAAAAGACCCCCAAGAGGCCCCCAAGAGGCCCCTCGGAGGCCCCTCGGAGGCCCCCAAGAGGCTTCAAATAGGCCCCATAAAGTGCTCGAGGGCCAGCGGAATGAGCGAAGCGATTAAATAAGAAGAGGCACCATGAAATCTGGGGAAATATCGTGGCCCCTGCCATGATACCTCCCCCCCAGTCATCGCCCCCCTCCTGGCCGCCCCCGATTGGCGGACGGGGCGATCGTACGCCTCGCCAGCGCTCTCGACTGCTTGCGGCCCGAGCACGAGCAGCTCTTCGCCGCCTTCTCTCTTCTCGTCGGCAACGGGGAGGAGACTCTGGAGACTCTGCTGGATCGCGTAGCGATATGATTACACCACCTGCGCAAGGTACGAAAAGCCTACGAAGTGGCCATGGAAGGTGGGCACCGCGCCCCAGAACTGGTAGACAGGACCGAGAAGCACGGTGGTATACGGATACCTCACATGGTTGCCTCACTTCAAGTACAGAAAGCCGCGTGCAGAAGCTTCGCCCCCTCCCTCTAGACAGCCAGAAAACGGAACGCGGATGGACATAATAGAACAACATAAGATAAGTGTCGCAAGAGCGTGGAATAACCAAATCCACTGAGGATATCATATGCATTTGCAAGATTGCTCCCCTTTGTTCTGTTGTCGGGCAGCAGTGGGCCAGTCTATCACAACCGTACCACTGGGAATGTAAGAGGTTGACGGCCCGCCACGATGGGCATCAGCATCGCGTAGAAGTCCCGCAAGGGCTTCGCAGGACTCCAGCTTGGAGGAGCCGCCACGGCGGCCCTCTCGGTCGGCACCTGCCGCTGTTCGGTAGTGCCCTCAACAGCAGGGTATGTGAGCCAGGCGCAAGATACACGAGCACGAGCTTCCCACCTCGCTGCTCCTGCTGAGCGGCGCTCGGCCGAAGCGTCCGAGGGGTCTTGATGATCAGTGCCCCTTTCGCCTGCGCGGCACGCGGCCACGGCATCCGAAAGGTCTTGTGGATCGGTGCCCCCTGCCCCGTCGGCATTATGGGAAACTCCTATGGCCTGATTTGATTTCTCGGAAATACATGTCCGTGCGTTGACCACCCAATCTGGCAATCGGAGTTGGCGTCTCCTGCACCCTGGGAAAAGAAGTGCACCGCAGGTGCATAGCGCACAGGTGACGTCGGACTGTGACTTCGCCTCATTCGCGTCGTGATCCCATAGATCGTAGATGATCACGTCGGGTTCCAGCTTCGCCCTCCCTCATCTCACACACGTTGGCTAGGTTAGGAACGTCGGGCTCCAGCTCCGCCACACGCTGCTCGCAATGAGGTGTCCGGAAGCACCCACGCGGGGCTCCAACTTCGCCTTCCCTCTTCTCGCACACGCTGGCTGGATCAAGGCCAAGGCTAGCAATGTCGGGCTCCAACTTCGTCGCCCTTTCCGCCATCTCGCACACGTTGGTTGGATCAAGGGCTAGGCTAATAGCGTCGGGCTCCAACCTCGCCACACGCTTCTCGCAGTGGGGTGTCTGGGATGGCGTCGAATACGCCGTGCAAGGTTCAATGGCGACGTCAGGCTGCGACTTCGCCTCGTGCGTGCCCTGATCCCTGACTCGCAGATGATCACGTCGGGCTCCAACTTCGCCTTCTGTCATCCCGCCCACGTTGGCTGGATCAGGTGCGAAAGTCACTGGCGACGTCGGACTGTGACTTCGCCCCAAGAATGCCCTGATACCAGAATCGTAGATGATCACATTGGGCTCAAAATTCGCATTCCCTCTTTTCGCACACGTTGGCTGGAACAGGGGCTTGGCTTGTAGAGTTGGGCTCCAACTTCGCCTCGCGCATCTCGCAAGGACGTGTCGGTTGCAGCTTGTAGCCACTGCTCTTCCAGCCCCCACGTCCATGCCATGCTCTCTGGAGGCTGTCACTGTGTGGTATGCTGCATCTTGCGGAGCTGCTCCACCTCGCGGGTCAGGCGGTGGATGGCTTGCTCAGCCGACCACTGTGCCCATACCCGCCGGGCTTGGCGCTCTCGCGGGGTGAGCCTTGGGCGCCACTCTTCGGCACACACCCCGTAGCACAACTAAGCTCCAGTGTTTGTTGATGTCAAAAGCGGTCGAACATGCGACACCCGCGACAGAATCCCTCAAGCACCGCGGGGAGGTCCTGGAGCAGGCCTGGGCAAGGAAGCCTGAACAGACACTGCTTGAGTCGGCAACGAGGAGGAGGAGGAGGAGGAGGAGGAGGAGGAGGAGGAGGAGGAGGAGGAGGAGGAGGGGGAGGGGGAGCAGGAGGAGGGGGAGGCTCGGCGGGTGCAGGGGGTGCTCCCGGCGCTTGCCGCGCTGGTGGAGGCGCGAAGCCCCGCTGGCTGGACGTGGCGAGGCGCAGCGCTGCGCCACACGCTGAGGCCGACATCTGCTGCGCCTCGGCGGCGCCCGGCGACCTGCGCAAGGCCAGGCGGGGACGCCGCTGGGAGGCGCGGCGCGGCAGCCCGGTGTCGCCTTTCCCTCCAGTAGGCTTTCACATCTTCGCCGGTGCGGGCTTCTGGAACCTCGGGGCGCGCGTGGAGGCTGACGAGTCCGTCCCTCCCGATGGTGGTGGCCTCGTCCATGCTGGTCACATGCTGCAGGAGGTGCTGCTGGCGATGGTGCCGAGGACAACGAGGAGGAGGAGACTGTTGAGATCAGCTGCGCCGACAGACTCGACGACAAGCATATTGACGGGTCGCTGCGGGCGCTGGCTGTGACGCCCGTATTCGGGGCCCACCCCCGCGACACGGAGTATGCTGAGGGTGGTCTTGAGGCCCCTGGGGCTGGAGCAGCTGCGGCCACGCTGGAAATGCTGGCTGACACGAGAGTCTCGCCCGAACTGGAGCCCAGACTTCCCCTGCCGCTGAACAGCGAGGAGGTGGAGATGGAGCTGGTGCAGGCGAAACTGGAGCCCGACTCTGTGAGCAGCAGGAGGTCAAGGGCTCCGAGAAGCAAAAGGCTGCATTCGGTTTTTCCCGAGATGGAAAAAAAGTGCCCTGATTTTTTTCCTGGACGACGTGTGGTTCGCGGATTTGCGTCCCTGGAGGACGCGCGGACGTTCTGGACATAGGCACGCATGAGGTACAGGCAAGCCAAGAGACGGAGGTAACGGCTTCACCATCTTCGTTTCTCGCTTCCCTTGGTCGGAACATCGTGGCACTCCATCGCAGGTGCTGCTCACAGGGTCACGTGCTGGCGAGTGAGGTGAATGACGACGACGACGACCTTCCCACAATTTGCACGACCTGCCAGAGCACCATCCCGTTCGGAAACCAGCGCTTCTTATGCGACAGCGTGGTTTGCAAAGACCAATGTTGTAGGAAATGTGTTCATCCTGAACTCCGCGAGCAAGGTCCATGAGAGAAGTTTCTGCGACGGAGTCAGGCGTTGTTCTGTATGCTTTCGTAGTTGTCCCCTGTTTGCGGTCGGTTTTCTCGGATGCAGTGTTTCGATGACCCCTCAGAGAAGCGTTCACGTCATGCTTTGTGAGTGGCTTGTAGCATCTGGATCTGTTTTCGCGGACCAGCGTGGGGCGGGCAGGTGGCTGTAGGATGGATGCACGGATTCTGTCTTTCTCCTGCACCAGCAACGAGGACGGGCAGGCCACAGCCGTCCTGTTCGTGCTCTACTGAGCGGGAGCCCTAGTCAGTGAACCGGCAATTACGATAGGTAAGTGGTAAGAGGATGAGGAGGAGGAAGAGGAGAATGAGGGGGAGGAGGAAGAGGAGGAGGAAGAGGAGGAGGAGGAGGAGGAGGAAGAGGGGGAGGAGGAGGAAGTGGATGATGATGATGATGATGATGATGATGATGATGATGATGATGATGATGATGATGCTGACGACGACCATGATGATGACGACGATGATGATGACTATGACTATGACGATGACGATACCGATGATGATGATGCTGATGCTGAGGATGATGATGATGATGATGATGATGGTGATGATGATGATGGTGATGATGATGATGCTGATGCTGATGATGATGATGATGATGATGATGATGATGATGATGATGGTGCTGATGGAGATGATGATGATGCTGCTGCTGATGATGAAGAGGCGCTAGAAGAGGAGGAAGAGGAGGAAAAGGAGGAGGAGGAGGGGGATGAAAAGGAGGAGGAGGAGGAAGACCCAGAGGAGAGCGAGAGGACGAGGGCGCGGCGCAGCGCCGGCGGCTGGGGCACACAAGGGGAGGGGCAGTGCGCCTGCAGCATCGCCGCGCCGTGCTTCGACAGAAGGTTGACCGCGCGCTCCTGGTGGCGGGGGGCGCCCGTGCTGCCCTCACCCCGCTGCTCCAGTCAAGGGCGAAGAAGACGAGAAGTCCATTTTGTTGAATCGCCGCCGCCGCCGCGTCGCCGCCGCCGCCGCCGCCCCCGTCGTCGTGGTCGTCGTCGTCGTCGTTTTCGTCATCGTCGTCGTCGTCGTCGTCGTCGTGGTCGCCGTCGTCCTCCCTCGCGGTCGCCATTGTCGCCGCCACAGGCGTCGGCGCCGCGGTCGTTTCCGTCGCCACCGCGGCCGCCGCCAAAGTCGAAGCAACGCGCGGCCCCTGGGGGTCGAGGATGGATGATCCACGACGCGGCGTCTCGACTCGGTGCCATGCCTGGGCTGCGATGCCGGCGAGCAGCTCGCGGCCGAATGGTAGCACTAAGAAGGCCTGCGCTAAGATCTATCATACGACTACGACTACGACTAACAATAAACATAGAAAGTGACATTACGGTTGGTATGTATCAAACTGATACGAATAAAGACCATGCCATTGATAATACGGATACCAATGCAGACAATGATATCACTGATAACACGAAAAAACACAATAAACATGGCAATGCGAATACTAAGGATAACAGAGTACGAATAATAACAACAATACAACTGCACATGCTAATAAGGGTGCGAATGCTAATACTATGGGTAACGATGATTATACGAAGAATATCAATACTACTAATGACAACACAGGTATGAGTAATGCTAATGAGATTAGAACGACTCCGACGCAAGGGCCCCGCATGACACTCTTCGAAAATGAACTGCGGGGTGCTTAGGGAGGTTCCAGCTCAAGACTTCCTCACAATTCTCTCACAGACGACGCTCCTTGGAGCGCTTCAGTGCTATGCCTCCTATTGCAGGTCGATGACCCGCTTCGGATTCGAACATGAAGCACGGGGCCCTTTTGACTTCCTCACGCTTCACTCCCCGGCGAGGCTCCTTGGGGTGCTCAAGTGCTATGCCTGCCATGGCAGGCCGATGGCCCGCCCCTGATTCGAACGTGAAGTGCCGGGCCCTTAGGGGGCTCCCCGCTCGAGACTTCCTCACGGTTCACTCACCGACGCGGCTCCTTGGGGTGCTCAAGCGCTACGCCTCCTATTGTGGGCCGATGACCAGCCTCGGATTCGAACATGAAAGTGCGGGGCCCTTAGGGAGAGGGTCTCCGCTCGAGGCTTCCTCACAGCTCTCTTCGACGGAGGGTCGGTAATCATGATGGCATGGTGATAGTGATGGTGATGGTGATGGTGATGATGATGATGATGATGATGATGATGATGATGATGATCATGACGTTGATGATGATGCAGATGATGATGATGATGATGATGATGATGATGATGATGATGATGATGATGCTGATGATGATGATGATGATGATGATGATGATGATGATGATGATGATACTGATGGTGCTGCTGATGCTGCTGATGCTGCTGATGGTGATGATAATGATGATGAGTGCGTGAGTGTGTGAGTGAGGAAACGAGGGGGTAGGAGGAGGAGGAGGAAGAGGAGGAGGAGGAGGAGGAGGAGGGTGAGTTCCTGCGCGGGGGGGGGGTAGAGAAAAAAAGGACCCCAGTTTGGATGTGGGGAACTACGTAGAGGGAGGATGAGTGGGGAGAGGGAACATTGGCAAGGGATGGGGAAGGATGGAAGGGGAAGGGTGGCGCGGGATGATGGGTGCGAAAAGGGGAGGAGGGAGCAGTGGGGAGTCGCAGAAAACATAATTGCATGACACACACACGCACACACACACACACACGCGCACGCACACGCACACGCACACACATTCACGCACACATTCACACATTCACACACACACACACACTTAGGCACGCACGCACGCACACACGCATGCACACGCACGCACGCATGCACACGCACACACGCACACACACGCACACACACACACACACACACATTTGGCATCTTCGGAAGCTCGCGCCGACTTTTTGGGCCGGCGATGGGCCCCTCTGACGGCGCTTCTGGCGCCGCCCCTGGCGCGCTCCGCGCGCTGGGGTGGCGGGCCGATGCAAGACATCTGCGCGGGCCTCCGAAATCTGAATGCTTCTGAAGCTGTGTTGTCTTAGATCCCCCTCCAGCTCTGACCTCTGCTGGATTGGGCACACAAGCCATGTATTGTTCTACGATTTCGGCCTCTGGGGTCCTCGCTGGTCCAAGGGCAGGCAGAAAACGGTTCGGGAAGAGAAATCAACCCTTGGAAGAAAATGTCTGAACTTCTAGGGGGCCCGTGATGATAAAAACTTTGAACTTCTGGAACTTCCAGTCCTTCTACAGCTCATGCGCGTCCCTCTTCCTCTTTCGCATCATCCTGCTACTGTTTCTGCCATTGACGCTACTGCTGCTGCGACTGCTGCGAACACTACCGCTGGCTTGCAACTGGTGCTTCCACTCTGCTGTCACTCCTGCTTCTGCTACGTACTTCATACTTCTAGTGCAGGCAACTCCCCCTCCTCCTGCTCATCCTCCTCCTCCACCTCCTCTTCGTCGTCGTCCTCCTCCTCTTCCTCCTCCCCCCTCGCCTGCTTACTCCTCCCACTACAGCTACTCTTCACATGGAGGCTCCTCCTCATCCTCCGTCCTTTTCATCCTCCTCCTTCTCCTCCTCCTCATTCTCCCGACCGTCCCCCCAGTTTCTCACTGGATGCCCCAGCGCAGTCCCCCACCTTCTGACCCTTCCATCCCCCTCGCTTGCCCAAGCAGGCAACTCGACCCCAAGGGGTCGAGTCGCCCTCTACAGTTGTTTCTCGGAAAGGTGGCCGCCTCTGTTGCCCCCTCGGACAGGGGCAGCTCACAAGCCCCTCTCGGTTGGTGCCCACCACCTCATGTTTTAACTCCTGTTTGCTCTATGCGCCGAACCCCCAGCATGTCTGTAACAAGTCGAACTCTGTCACTCCCGTGACAAATTTGGGCCCGAAACGTGCTTAACAATTTTAACTCCGGTTTGCTCTGTCCACCTGCATGGTCTTCCGGATAAAATCATCGCCGCCGCGAAAACGCTATGAGATACATGTATAATGAAGTCACCCTGGTGATACCACCACGTTCCCCCCAGTCAGGGGAATCAGACACCACTGAGGAGTGGCATTCTTCACGGCGCCACATACTGGGATCAGCCGCCCTTAAGGCTGTGTATTCCGCCAGTATCCTCCTCCGCCTTCACCTGCCCCTCCCCTTCCCCCCCCCCTCCTGATCCTGCTTCATCCTCTCCCTCGCCCCAGTCCTCTCGCGCCACCCCCCCTTGCCCTCCTCGCCCTGCCTCTCGTGGCGCGGCCGCGGGCGGTCCAGCGTGCCGATGATGTCCACGAGCTCCTGGGCAGGACGAGCCGAGGAGGGCGCCGAGGGAGGGCCGCGGAGGGTGACCGAGAGGAGCAACAGCTGGGCGAGGGGCAAGCGGGAAAGAAAGAGAGAGAGAGAGAGAGATGTATATATGTATCTGTATATATATATATATAGAGAGAGAGAGGGAGAGAGAGACATCGAGAGAGAGGAAAAAGAGAGAGAGAGACAGAGAGAGAGAGAGAAAGAGAGAGGAAACATGACAAGGCTGAGCACTTTGAAACTCGCGGCGGCGCCGGGCATTACGGGGGGCAGCAGGGGGGGGCGGGGAATGGGCATAACGTAACGCCGCACCCCCACCCCACCGTGACAAAGTGTGGCGCTGGACGCATTGCAGCATTGCAGGGGGGGCGCACTGCGAGGGGGGGCGCAGCGCGCGTTATAGCCCAACAAATAAGAATCACCCCCGATGAATGAATGAACGAATGGATGAACAAATGAATGAATGAATGAATGAACGAATCAATGAATGAATGAGTGAGTGAATGAATGAATGAATGAAGTCACGGCTTCGAACAAACTCACGCGACTTAGAGATGAGGGAGAGCACCAGGCCTGCCTGGCCTAACCCTTCGCCCTGATCCGCCGGAACATGGCCGCCGTCCTCGCGGAGGAGCAGGGAGAGGGGGACCAGGAGGATGAGTTGCTTTTTGATCATTTTCCCTCTCTCCACCCTCCACGAAAGTGCGTCTCCACACTCAAGTCCGCAGCTCGAAGGGCGGGCGGTGGAAGACGACGAAGCTCCCCGAGTAAACGAGCACCCGCTCGAGCACCCACACGAACCACAGGCGGGACGCATACCCCCTGGAAGTCGATTGCCTCGGAGGCCACATGGATGAAGTACCCGCGCCCCAAGAGAATCCCGTACTGCCGGAAGACATAGTCGAATCCGAACTCACGCTGAACCCTTCCAACTTCGCAGGGCGTTACGCATCGCATCCTTGTACGAGACCGCAACACTGTCCTTGAAATTCCCATTCAAGTTGAGGCGGCACTTCATCAGAACCACATTCGGCAACAAAAATATCAGCGTCTTCCATCATGGCCAGGCTCTCGGCGGGGAGCCCACATCCAGGAAGACCTCCAGCTTCCTGAAGATCAGCAACGAGATCGGCATCGCCGTGCAAATCGCCACGAACATCCCCAGCGCAACGAAAATCGACAGGATGATCCCAATCGACCCGAGGACCCCAATCACCAAGAACATCACCAGGGAGCTCCCCGTCCCCGCGAGGATCCGCAGGACGACGGCCGCCAGCATCGCGAAGACCAGCCAGAAGACCCCCAGCGCCCCCGAGAGCTCCAGCACCGCGAAGATCGGAAGGGAGATCACCAGCACCGCGAAGATCGGCAGGAAGCTCCCCAGCGCCCCGAGGTCCACCAGCACCACGAACGTCACCGGGAGGACCCCCATCGCCGCAACGACCGGCAGGACGACGGCTCCCAGCATCGCGAAGATCGGCAGGAGGGCCCCCGGCGCCCTGAAGAGCCCCAACACACGGGAGATGAACTGGAAGGTCACCGGCACCGCGAAGATCGGACGGAAGATCATCCTCCCCGGGAGCAGAGGCCACCAGCCCCGGGATCGTATCCCCGGCACCACGAAGATCGCCAGGAGCACATCCGCAGCACCCTGGAGGTCGGCAGGAGGGCGAGCACCTGCTCCCCGAAGATCGACGGGATGCTCTCCCCGTCGCCCCGGGGAGCCCCAGCACCGCCGAGATCACCAGGGAGGGCCCCAGCACCGGGAAGATCCGCAGGAACCCTGGGGTCTGTTAGATCTTATTTTAAGAACGTGTTAGTTGTATAGTAACATGAGATCTCATAATAAGAACGCACATGCACGAAACAAACGCTTTTTCATTCACACGCATGCGATACACTCACGTCGCATCCTGAAAGCGTTGCGTAGAACTTTCGGGGGGCACTCTTAAGAGTGCCCCCCGGCACCAGAGACATCAGCAGGAAGAGCCGCATCGCCCCATGCGGAGCGAAAAACACCAGCGCCATGAGGGCCCCCGGAATCGCGAAGATCCGCAGGAAGATCCCCAACACCACGAGGATCCGCAGAACGAATACCCCCAACACCACGGAGCCCAGCAGGAAGATCCAGTGGGCGAAGGCCCCCGGCATCACGAAGATCCGCAGGAAGATCCCCGGCGCCACGAAGACCGGCAGGAGGAAGATCACCATCACCGCGAGACTCAGCAGGAAGATCGCCATCTGCCAAGGCGAGGGCCCGATGAAGGCTGCCGACTGTGTCCGTCAGTTCTTTCCACACCTGCTCCATGGCGATGGGCACGATCTGGCTCGCTGTGCCGCAACGAACTGTCGTACATCGTACATGCCGATGGAGAAGTGGTGGCCTTCGTCTGCGTGCTTACGCTGTGGCAGCCGTTTGAAATGAAAACAGGCCACGTGTCGCGCGCTCCCGCAAGAAATTGCGCCGACCAGGAGCCGCCCCATTGAGCGGGAACGCAGGCACAGGAGGAAGGTCATCGGGAGCTATTAGACAACGAGCGGTGCCGAGCCTGCTTGGAAGTACGAGCGCCAACCTGACCGCCATCAGCAATACCATCATCAGCAGGGAGACTATCACGGCGAGCGACCAACCGAGACGGTGGACGGGCATCATCAGCATCATCTGAATCAGAGCTTCCATCCGGCCCTCCGTCCTGGTGGGCCTCATCAGCTGCAGGGTGGCCATGAGCAAGCCTGCGGGGTTTGAAAGAGAAGCTGATGTTGGAGACGCCACCCGCGTGTTTGTGGCCGTGGTCCGCGACGCTGCAGCTCGGCGGGCTCTCCAGCAACACCTGAGATCACTGGGTCGCCAACTGGTTCTCGCACTCGGCGGAGCGAGTCGGCACCAGACTCACGTGAACCCTCAGATCCGACGTAACGAAAAATTGCAACATCGTGAAAATCCGCGCCCGGAGCCCCGGACCCCGTCTTTCTGCGCCGGGAGCCCCGGACCAATCTAGATGTTCGCGCCCGACCTTGGTGACAGAGTGGGGGCGGCATGGATTACCTGGGCCCCTGAGCTGGGCCTGAGCGAAACATCCGCACGACCCACAAAACCAAACTCCAAGGTCTTTATGATACAGAAAGGCGCGGGAGGGATGCGTCCAGCCACCTGCCAGGTGTAGGCTCCGTCCTAACGGGACTCTGGACAACTTGGCCATTCGGACGCCTTATTCTTCGAGTTCGAGCTGAAGCACTCTGAGCAAGATCTGCCATTGTCGGTCAGCGTGTGGACAGACGCAGAGCGCGTTAAGGCCAACAGGCGGCCTGGATGGAATCCAATCCTACTCTCAGAAGTCTTCTCCGATCAAGCCTGGCCTTACGCTCGGTTCGATGCACTCTGGACCTATCCACTTCGGGGACTCTGTTGTTCTCAGCCGCAGCCCCCGCCAAAACATCAACGCGCAACAATTACCTTAAATGAGCCAACTCTCCCACCCCCGCTGGACGACCTCTTGCGCCGTGAGGTGGCAAGGGCAAGTGGAGGGCTGGGAAGGGGACAGGGGCAGAAGAGGCCAGGGGCAGGGTGGGACTGGCTGCAGGATCTACAGGTCCACAGCCGAGAGGAGGAGGAGGAGGAGGAGGAGGAGGAGGAGGAGGAAAAGAGGAGGAGGAGGAGGAGGAAAAGGGCCAGGGATCTGCAAAACTTCAACGTTGCCTTCATTACGACCCTGCTCTGGCAAGGCGGAACCGCTGCTGCGCCACAAATCCGCCCGTGGACCTCCTGGCTGCAAGAGACACCCGCGTAGTGCCCCATTGGCCACTTCTGCACAGTCAGTGATGTCCTCCTCCTCCTCCTCCTCTCCTCCTCCTCCTCCTCCTCCTCCTCCTCCTCTCCCTCCTCCTCCTCCTCCCTCCTCCTCCTCCTCCCCCTCCTCCCCCTCCTCGCCCTCCTCCCCTTCCCCTCTTCCTCCTCCTCCTTTTCCTCCTCATCCTCCTCCCCCGTAGCCATTTTGGCTCAAGCCATTTTGGCTCAAGTTGCCACCGCTCAAGCCAGCTGGGCAGGAGCAGCCCTGCCCCCTCTTTTTCGCCTACACCTACACGCCGCAGTTGCCGCCATGTCTTCCAGGACGCCCTGGGTTCGCAAAGAAGGAGTAGGATCTCCAGTTGTTTCTCATTCTAAGTTGCTTTGCCCGCGTGGCAGACCAGACTGTTGGATCGGATCTGGCCTAATAGAATTGCTTCTCAGCCGTTATGTAAGTGCGGGCTCCCCGGGCATGGGAAGAGTTCCCAGCCACTCCCGCCACCTCCGCCACCACCGTCAGCAGCGAAGTCTGGGCGTACAGAAAGGCCCAATGCTGAGGTAGCAGTTGGCAGGGAGAAGATGCAGTCCAAACATAAGCCCACTGTTCAGGTAGAAGCCGACAGTGAGAAGGCGCAGCCACCACCGCCGCCTCTTGTGGCAGTGAAGTCTAATCCCAAAGATAAGGCCGCTGGTCAGGTAGAAGCCGACAGAGAGCAGGGCCAGGATTTCAAAGTCAGGCTTCAGTTCAAGCTATTGATCTCGGATGTTTTCCAGCAGTACGAACCTCAGATGCTGGATCAGTTGGACTATTTCTTGGACAAGTACCAAGGGCAAGAACAGTTTCTTTATTTGGCAGTATGCGAGAAATTCAACGTCGAGCCTAAGGTAAAGGATCAGATCTCCAAGAAGGAAGACAAACTTCCCAAACTTCCAGATGTTTTGGACAACGGTAGCGTGTCAGATTCACCTTCTGCCAGTATAAAACATGTCGACCGTCTTCGTTCGACTTCTCCAGAGCACGCTAGTAAACGTGCAAAGGTTGTGCACAGCGATGCCGCCCCTTCCAGTGAATCAGCCCCGTCAAATTCAAGACTTCTGGAGCTCAAGTGTGGTCTCCAGGATATCAAGATCAAGCACCTCCAGCAGAAGCTGGAGACACTCCAGGAAGAGCTCAATCGTGTTAAGAATCAAAACGCAGCTTCAGGCAGTGCGCCTGTTCCTCGGAGCAGATCCAGCTCAGACTCCACTTCTTCAAAGTAATTGGAGCTCAATGTGTTGGTAGTATCCAAGTCTTTCATTTCAGCGGCAGAATGTGTATTGCATCATGGGCATAATATGGCAACTTGAGTAATGGCTTAGTGAGCGAAGTTTCTTTGGCTACAGGTTTTTTGGGTAGAATCCATCTTTGTGTTGGTCAGCTCTGCGTTTGGGTAGGACATTCGTCAGCTACCCAGCGTTCTTTAACCTTCACACGTCTTGTTTCCTTTGGCCAGATCGGCAGTACTGTTGAAGCAGGTAGCTGACTTGCAGTTTCCTCGTCATGCGCTAGTAGGGCAGTTGTATTACAGCCCAGTTAATTCTTACTTTTCAGGGGTCCAGGAAAGTCTGGCGAAGTAATCCCCTAGTATTTTCTCCAACCCTATTGGGGGATGGTAGGTCTCGCTTTGCTAGGGGTCTCCCATTAGTTTGTGGGAAGTAAGTTACCCCAGTGCATTGCAGTTTTGATCTCCTTCCCCTTCCCTTGGTCCTTCAGTCTTCCCCCCTCCCTCCTTCCTCCCTCCAGACAGTTCAAGGAATTGGCAGCCAGGTCGCAGGCGAAAGCAAGTGGCCTTCCCTGGCGGGTCTTGCCATGGTTTACCATGCCCGAAAGTCCGAACCTGCAAGTTGGCGTTCAGGGATTGCTCGTGTCTGGGGTGGGGGGTAATTGGTGGGTGGGATGGGATTCTCCGCCCCGTTCTGGGGAAGTTCTGCATTGATTCCGTTCTGGCCTGGGAACGGCCCATTAGAAGGTGGGCAGCGTTTAACCCGGGCTAGTTTGTTTCATGCATTTCCTTCTCCTCCTCTCCTCCTCTTGGGGTAGGGTTCTTGGCGCCGAATCGGAACTGGCAACGCCCCAGGCTTGGACTGGGGGTCAGATGCAATCCGAGGAACGCGCATGAGCTTTAGTGCGGCCCCAAAGCGAATGTCAAAAAAATGTCCTCATCCTCCTCCCCCTTCTCCTCGCCTACTGGTCCGAACGATCGCCGAACTGTCCATTCGAAAGCTGGCAATTCACATACGGGAGCAATCTGGGAAGGCCCCCCAAAAAGGTCCAAACAAGTGGATGCGGAGGATGCGGAGGGGGAGATCGTGCAGGGGAGGAGGAGGGATGGAGAGAGCGGTAGAGGAGGAACGCGGAGGGCCAGGTCAGGTCAGGCGGTGCACCAGGGTGCGAGGACAAGGATCACCAGCAAGAAGAGCCGCGTGGTGGGAGCCGGGCGAGGGAACGAGGCCCGGATCGATGGAGCGAAGCACGGATCGAGGGGTGCCAGGCGGGACCAGTGGAAGGGAGGCACCAGGGCAGCAAAGCACGCGTCCTTTTCCTCAGCGTCGAAGTCGGCCTTCTCCTTCGACCTGATCTCCACTGCCGCCTTGAGATCGGCCTCGGGGTAAACGAATCGACGCAATGAAGCGAACCCCTGGCCTCCTCCAGCGACTCCTCCTCTCTGTTCCGCTTGGCTCCTCTCTGGCTTCCCCTTCCTCCTCCTCCTCCTCCTCCTCCTCCTCCTCTTTCGTGCTGCTCAATGAGCACATCTGCCAGGGTCCGAAAGACTGGGTGGAATGTACGAGAGTAGCTGTATGGAACAAAGAGAGACACGAAGTACAAGTAGGGGGGCCCGTGCTATGAGAGAGGACGTTCTCTTTGCTTTTACGGAGGCCAGGGCGCGCCCGTCGCATGCGCGCCACGTGACTCAAGGGCCCTTGTGAGTCACAAGGGAGGCTGACAGGGGCATGACAACCACAGCCCCTGCCTTTCTTGCAACCGAAACGCCGCCTCGCGTCATTCCGCAAACTTCCGCGTATGAAACTCGAAAATCCTAGCCACTCAGATCCCGTAGCCATCTCATTTGGTCCCAAAACGTCTGTGACGTACAGCCGGTACGGCTAAACGAACACGCAGGCCTTGAAAACGTCTCTGGGAGAGCTCCATGAAGGAATTGTTTGGTCCTGGCACCGCGGTGAGATCTCCAGACACTGCTTAGTCCGCAGCTTGCCCCATCTCGTCCATGAAGCTATGCGGCTCGATTCCGCGGGGGTCGAAGTGGTAGCCAGTTCGCTCCAGGTAGCGGGATGCTGCGCTGATCTCTATGGTCCATTGAGGAACCGATTTCTTGTGCTTGGGGATCAGCTTGACCTCGAGAATCGCCAAGTCGGAGTCATCAATCTTCTCGTTCGACTACGCGTGGACGCTCGGAAACGCGGCGGGGGCGGCCAGCGCCACAAGGTGCACCCTGACCGTGCGATGCCAGAGCCCACGCCATCCAAAGACTTGCTACTTCGCCCGCACCTTGTCCAAGATTTCTCTCATCGTCGTAGCGTGGATCCAGAGCTGGGCGGCGCTGGTGCTGAGTTCGGTTTGGCACCGCCGCCTGTGGACGTGCATCTCGGGATAACCAGCGCGGCGGTTGCGGTTCACCTGCAACCCGAAAATGCACGAATTGAGATTCACATCGGGGCCGACGTCGGACGACAGGTGCGCCATGTTGTGAGTGCAGGAAGTACGGCGATGTGTTCCTTCACAGAAGACGCTGGACACGTTGTCCTCGCTCAAAGGCCCCTCAGGCCTTCCTTGCTCCAAATAGAAGCAAGTGCTGCCAGGTTGGCGCCGTGGTGGGCGGTCTGGATGTCGATCTCTAGTTTGCTGGGCTTCTTATGTTGCTGCACATCCCTGGCGGGTGCCA